CTATTGATTTTGATATTAATTTTCAGAACTACCATGAAGCAATAATATTTCTGTGCAAATTATAAGTTACGGGTTCTCTAAGTTTTTAGCCTGGTTAACCATGAAACCTTGAATTTCTTGCTATTCCTACATGATTGAACCCCACAGTAATGAGACAATATTGTGTTTGATGTGTTGTTCATTTCACCATTTTTGGAATTTGTAGGGGAATGACTCATAAATGGGTGACTATGAATCTGATGTTACATTTTTTATTTTTTATACAAATAATATCATTGAAGGCATGAACTAATTTTATATTCACTTGATTGGTGGAACATTTTTTGTTTGTATCATTTATAATAAACTTTTATGCACAAAATATTATGATTAAACTAATTATGAATCAAAATTTGAAATTTGAAGTAGTAGTCAAACACCATATAAATACTTACAAGAGATTTATTGGGCTAGCTAACAGAAAAGTACTCTACTTGTTAGATTCTAGCGTACTATATATTTTTAAAATGTATAACAAATATTTTTTTAGTGTAACTGGTTATGATTTTTGTCTTTTCTTAAGTGTCCTTAGTTCAAATCCTTATATCGATATATTTTTATATTAAATTAATAAATAATTATGAAGACAAAAATATTCTTACTACTTTCATTCTAGTGGCAGGAAATTTCAAATGGAGCAATTGTTTTCTCATTCTACTATCATATATAGGGTAGATAGATAGATATGAATGAGGAAGAAAATATATTAAATATGGAAAATACATTCAACATTTGCTTGTGTTTTAGATATTTTTGAAACTTGTATTGTAGACTTTAAAGCTTCATCTAATCAATGATCATTAAAACGAAAATTTTATGAGTTTTGTACTTCGAAAATTCATCTAATCAACGACTATATTATGAGGGCAAATCTATGAGAAAAATTTTAAAGGTGATAAATAATAGAACGGGAATGGAGATACTCAAACAGAAAAAGGAAGTTCGCTGGCTTGGCGAATTTTTTCGCAAACCTCTAATATCTTGCGCAAAGCTTCAGCTTTCAACATTAAGAATGTAAAAACAACTAATTTCTGGTTGACCTTTGGCTTTTGCAGATGCCTCTGGCGGATTTTGTGGTAAAAGAGATCCCGACAGAGATACAAAATAAGAAGGTGTTCGACTTCTGGTCTCCGGACATCGGGTGGAAGATTGAGGAGCTAGACAAATACCTCCCTCAGGACATTTTGGCCTAGATTAGGGCAGTTACGATCGACCCTCTTTCTACAGAAAGTGATTAGCTTTTTAGGAAGGCTTCGGCTAAGGCTGCAAATGAGCCACGCCGCTCGCGAGCAACTCGGCGTTCGAATCGGAAAAAACTCGTTCGACACTCGGCTCGTTAGTAAACGACCCAGGCTTGAGCTAGACCATGCTCAGCTTGATAAGCTCGTGAGCTAGTTTGACTCGGTGGCTTGTTGAGCTAAGCTCACGAGCTAACTTGTTTAGAGCTTGTGAAATGATTAATTACTCTTCTGAAAATTAACATTATCTTGTTAATACCTATGTGTGTGAAAGTTAGCTGTTATTTATAGTTTCTTGTGTTCTTTTTATCATTTAAACTCTTATGTGTTACACAATTTTTAGCAATAATAATCTCAAATCGAGTTCATCTTGAGCCGAACTTGTACTCAGCTTGACAAGCTATGTTAATGAGCATTTACCGAACTCTATCGAGTCGAGCTCGAGCAGAAAAATTTATAAACGAGCCAAGCTCAAACTAAGCAAAAACTTGACTCGGCTCGTTTGCAGCCTTAGCTTTGGCTAATGGGCGTTTCAGTACTACATCGGCTTATGAATTGGTCTCACCCCTCCAAACAAATTCACAATCAGCTATATGGCGCCGCATTTGGAGACTCCATGTCCCTGAAAGAGTCTGGCTTTTCATATGGACAACAATGAAGAATAGGCTTGCTACCAACTCTATAAGAAAATTCAGACATCTTGCGGAGATCGACACTTGCCTCCTGTGTCAAGAATAAATTGAGACTAATGTACATTGCCTGAGGGACTGCAGCGTGGCAAGGAAAACTTGGGAAAAGACCATACCTAAACAGCAACAACAATTTTTTTTTTAGATGGATCATGAAGAATGGCTTCGGACCAACATATTCAATGAGAAGGAGGAAGGCGAAGAGGAGAACTGGGGCAGCTACTTCGCCATCATTGCCTGGTACATCTGGAAAAATCGGAATGATTACATTTTTAAAGGTACTCGAATCTCATCTTCTACTCTGGTCAATTTTACGATCTCTTGGCCTTGGTTGTGCGTTTTATACTCCATGAGGAGTGTCTTGTAATTTTCCATTTTACCCGTGTGTATTGGTGAAGGGTATAAATGGCTGGTTGCTCTCCTACGGCAGCCAAGAAAAACCCTATGCTTCTGTTTGTTTCTTGTCATAGTGAAAACTCATCTTGAGAGCTCTGCTCTCTGTGGATTAGTCCCGGTTTCCGGGGATACCACGTAATTCTTGGTGTCGTTTTATTTCCGCATTCGCTTCTTTTCATGGTATCAGAGCACAAGATTCAGTCCTAGTTTTGCTTCGTCATGGGTACAACGGGGGAGACCTCTGACGGCGACAAACCGATCGGCTCTTTGAGTTCGGAGGTCATACCGATCAGCTCTCCTCTCTATCTTCACCCGTCCGAAAATCTTGCTCAACTCTTTGGTAGTGACTTGTTGAATGATCTGAATTATGGTGAGTGGGTCAATGACCTCACCGAAACCCTAATCTCCAAAAACAAGCTTGCTTTTGGCGATGGCTCGCTTCCTCGTACTCAGGCCGGTTCTGCTCGTCATCAGGAGGCTTGGGACCGCTGCGATGCCACCGTCAAAGGGTGGTTGAAGACTGCGATGACCCGAGAGGTCCGCAACAGTGTGTGCATGGCCACTACGGCTCGTGCGATCTGGACAGACCTTCAGCGGTGCTTCAGCCGTGGGTCGTTTCAGCGGGCGTATGAATTGCGCCGCATGATCGCCTCTTCACGTCAAGAGAAACTGTCCGTTTCAGCTTTTTATACAAAGCTTCACTCATATTGGGATGATATGGATGCAGTAGGCGGTTTGCCGCGCTGTGCGTGTACTGGTTGCTCTTGCGGCGGCTGTCGCTGCAACCTTCCCAATCAATATCAGACTCGGCTGGAGACGGAACGCCTCTTTGACTTTCTTCTTGGCCTCGACGATGCTTACTCCATCGTTCGATCCCAGATTCTTAGCACGAGGCCAATTCTGTCCCTTGCTGAAGCCTATCAAACTGTTGCGGCCGAGGAGCAACATCGGCTCATTACTTCTAATCGTCGCCCAGTTGTTGACACTGCTGTTTTCCAGGCTCAGGTGGATAAGGATCCCAATGTTGATCGCGAGAAAACTCGTTGCTCACATTGCAACAAATTTGGTCACCTGCGGGAGACCTGTTATCGCCTCATTGGTTTTCCCCCTGGTCATCCTCGTGCAAAGCAGGGCGACGAGCGAGCTAACCCAGCACCACGGCGTTCTAAGGCTGCTCATGTGGAGCTTGAGGCGGCCGAGCCCAGTGCGAGTCCCATCCCCGGTCTCACGGCAGCGCAGTTTGCCCAACTGAAGCTTTTTTTATCATCTCCATCCTCTGATGCACCTTCCGAGCCTACTGCACATATGGCGGGTAATTCTTCTGACCTTTATGAGTGGTTGATCGATTTGGGGTGTAATGAACACATAGTCAGGGATGCTCGATGGTTACATTTAGTTGATTCTGTTGATGGGTTGTCTAAAGTCCGGATCCCTGATGGGTCTGGCATTCCTGTCAAAGGGGTTGGGTCAGTTCGTTTGTCAGCTTCTCTTAATCTGGAGCGTGTCTTACATGTTCCGGACTTCAGGTGTAATCTGCTGTCTGTGAGTCGCTTGACTCGGATCATAATATTGGGGTTATGTTCTTACACGACTTCTGTGTACTCCAGGATTTACGTTCCAGGATGCTGATTGGCGTCGGTAAAATTCGTGATGGCCTCTACTACTTGTGTCGGGATTCTCTTAGTGTGTTTCCTCAGGCGTGCAAGGCAGTTGGCAGATCTGAGGCTATTGATTTATGGCATGCCCGTTTGGGGCACCCCTCCGTCGATAAGATAGTTTCACTACAGAATTTTGTGGTTTGTAATTTGTCTTTTCGGCATCTTTCTCATTGTGACTCTTGTTTGCGTGCTAAGCAAACTCGGAACCCTTTTCCTCATCGTTCAATCAAAACAACTGGTTGTTTCGATCTCATCCATGTGGATATCTGGGGGCCCTATCGTTCACCAGCTTTGGATGGCTCTCGTTACTTTCTTACTATTGTTGATGATTTCAGTCGATCTACTTGGGTTTATTTGATGAAATTCAAGTCTGACGTTGAACGTTACCTCAGATTGTATTGTGAGCTAGCCATTACTCAGTATCATAGACAGGTTCGCCGTATTCAGGCTGACAATGGTCTGGAGTTTCAAACTCTCTCCCTGCGATAGTACTATGAAGAGAGAGGCATCGTATTGCAAACCTCTTGTACTAATACTCCGCAGCAGAATGGAGTGGTTGAGCGGAAACATCGCCACCTCCTCGAGACTGCGCGAGCGCTTATGTTCCATGCTGGCTTGCCTGTGCGTTTTTGGGGTGAGTGTGTTTTGACTGCGGCGTATCTTATTAATCGTCTCGCCTCACCAGTCACTCATATGAAAACACCTTTTGAGATTTTGCTGGGACGCGAGCCTACCTATTCACATCTTCGTACTTTTGGTTGCCTTGTTTATGCAAGGACACCCATCATGGTTTGGACAAGTTCGCGGAACGTGGGCGTGCATGTGTTTTCGTGGGCTACCCGGGTAATCGAAAGGGGTATCGTGTCTTTGATCTTCACCTGCGCAAGATACTGGTCTCTCGTGATGTCCATTTCATCGAGCACATTTTCCCCTTTCTTGACCGGACCCGCCCCGCTGAACCGCCACTTGCTCCTCCTCCCATGAACTCTACGTCCGACTCATGCAGCGAGCTTTCGCGTGAGGGGGAGACTCCCTTGGCGGATGATGAGGACCGCGACGGGGCCACCCTGGGGTCTGTTGAGCAGCTTGACCATACTGCCGAGGGTTTTGCGGAGACAGCGAGTGAGCATCCCTCCCCGCCAGTTGCTGATTCTTCTCCGTCGGGCTTGGCGGATTTGCCGCACCCCCCGCTGTCTTCCCTCGCGTCCCCCCAGCTATCATCGTTTTTCTGCTAACTACTGTGCTTTCCTGGCTGCCATGAGCTCGCTTGTTGAACCTCGCCACTTCTCCCAAGCGGCCCAGTATCAGGAATGGCGGGAAGCGATGCAGCGGGAAATTGCAGCTCTTGAAGCTAATGGCACTTGAACTTTGGAGTATTTAGCGCCTGGGAAGCGTTTAATCGATTGCAAGTGGGTCTACAAAATTAAGTTCAATCCCGATGGTTCGATTGAACGGTTTAAAGCTCGGCTTGTCGCCAAAGGATTCACACAGCTTGGGGGTGTGGACTTTCACGATACCTTTGCGCCGGTTGCGAAGCTTGTTACTGTTCGGGTACTTCTGGCAGTTGCAGCCCAGAGAGGCTGGTCCCTTCATCAACTTGACGTCAATAATGCCTTCTTGCATGGCGACCTAGATGAAGAGGTGTACATGAGAGTACCTCAGGGTTTTGCGAAAGAAGGTGACCCTCGGGTTTGTAGACTTCGCAAGTCTTTATATGGTCTCCGTCAAGCGTCTAGGAACTGGTATGCGAAGTTCACTGCTGCCTTGCTTGAGTTTGGTTTCACTGTTTCTAAGGCGGATCCTTCCCTCTTCCTGTATGAAACGTCGGGCATCTTTCTTACTGCCTTGATTTATGTCGATGATGTGGTGCTGACTGGTAATAACATCGATCTCATCAGTCAGTTCAAGACTTTCCTGAATGATCGTTTCAGTATCAAGGATTTGGGGCCCCTCAAGTATTTTCTCGGGATCGAGGTTGCCCGATCTCCTGAGGGAATTGTTCTTTGCCAGCGTAAGTACACTCTTGATATCTTGGCTGATTCAGGGATGAGCGCAGCTCGCCCCAGTGGCTTTCCGATGGAACAAAATCATACTCTTACTCGACCCACTGGTGAGCGTGCGACTGACATGAGTGCCTATCGGCGACTCGTCGGTCGTCTCCTCTATCTTACTATCACTCGGCCTGACATTGCCTATTCTGCCAACATTCTGAGTCAGTTTGTTCATGCTCCCACTCCTGATCATGTTGCTGCTGCTCACAGAGTTCTTCGTTACCTTAAGGCGGCTCCCGGTCAGGGTCTCCTATTGCCCGCCGGTGGTTCACTTGATCTCACTGCGTACTGTGATGCAGATTGGGCCGGTTGTCAGTCTACCACCGGTTATTTCATTCAGCTCGGTGGGGCGCCGATTTCCTGGCGTGCCAAGAAACAGCGTGTTGTTGCGCGCTCTTCTGCAGAGGCAGAATACCGGGCCATGGCTAGCGCTACCAGTGAGGTTCTCTGGCTCCGTTTCCTCTTAGGTGAGCTGCGAGTTCCCCAGACTTCACCGACTCCCCTTTATTGTGATAACCAGGCTGCTTTGCATATTGATGCTAACCCGGTTTTCCATGAGAGGACTAAGCACGTGGAGATGGATTGCTACTTTGTTCGGGAGCGTGTCAGCTCTGGAGAGATTCAGCCTCTTAAGATTCACACTAGTGCTCAGATTGCTGATATCTTCACGAAGGCTTTAGGCACTGAGCAGTTTCACACTCTTTTGTCCAAGCTTGGCATTTGTAACCTTCATGCCTCCGCTTGAGGGGGAGTCTTGGCCTTGGTTGTGCGTTTTATACTCCATGAGGAGTGTCTTGTAATTTTCCATTTTACCCGTGTGTATTGGTGAAGGGTATAAATGGCTGGTTGCTCTCCTGCGGCAGCCAAGAAAATCCCTATGCTTCTGTTTGTTTCTTGTCTTGAGAGCTCTGCTCTCCGTGGATTAGTCCCGGTTTCCGGAGATACCACGTAATTCTTGGTGTCGTTTTATTTCCGCATTCGCTTCTTTTCAATCTCCAAAGCCAAAGATTGGTTGAAAGCCTGGAAAGCAGCAGATGAATGGTTTGGTAACATTAGGCAACCGGCTCACGAGGAACAATTGATCAGTTGGACTCCCCCTCCACCGGGATGGATAAAACTTAGTACGGATGGGGCAGCACAGGGTACCCCAGACATGGCGACAACTGGGAGAGTGCTGCGTGACAGCTAAAGAAAGTGGATGGGGGGTTTTTGTTGCAAAATTGAAACCGGTTCTGCCATTCTCGTTGAGCTACGGGGAATTAAACTGGGATTGGAGTTTGGTTGGAATAAGGGTATTAGGCTGCTGGTTTTGGAAACTGATTCCAAATTAGTTGTTGATCTCATAACCAGCCGTGATGATCCGGTTCACCCCCACGCTACCTTGTTGAAAACCATTCGTAGACTTCTTGCTCAAGACTAGATAGTTGGTTTGGTTCATACGTATCGTTAAGGGAATAGAGTCACAGACGGACTCTCGAAACACAGTCTCGTCTATCCCTTTGATACATATGAAATATGAACTAATGGAACTTCCAGGAGAGGTTGATAAATTGCTAAGGGAGGATGTGATTGGGGTTAGCTTTCCGCGAAGAGTGGTTATGAATTTAGATCGATGACAACGTCTTGGACAGATCTGCTCGCTCTCGAGTTTCTCTTTTTGGTTATTATGCGGTCTCTAGAGTTGGTCTGCTAGGAGCGATTCTTTCTTTCGTTTTTTCAAAAGTGAGCTTCGCGGTAGCTGTTATGCTGCAGCTCTGTTCTGGTTTGTAATCTCCTTGGCGTAAGCCTCCCCTTTTATAAAAAAAAATAAATAAATAAATAATAGAGGGTAGGTTTAGGCTAAAGGTATATAGTATGTACATATACATGTGGCGCAATTAAAAGAAATCGTAGTAGTGTATAGGGTTAATATATTTGTATGGCCTGAACTTTTCACATAATAAGCATCCTGACCAATTTTTTCGATTCATAACATCATGGCCTGAACTATACACCAAAATAGTGAAAGTGGCCAAACCCAAAAATTGAACGTTATCTTGGACGGTCAAACGCGTTGACTAACGGTCAACGCGTCACATCACCGCCAAGCCAGCACCTTTCACTTAAATTTTTTTTATATTTTCCACAATTGCCATTTTTTTATTTTGAATCTAAAAAATTGAAAATTGAATTTCTGGACACAAAATTCATTTTTCAATTTTATTTGATTCAAAATGAAAAATATAAATAATTATAGGTAGAAAATATTTTTTTTAGTGAAAAGTGCTGACTTGGCGGTGACGTGGCATGTTGACCGTTAGTCAACGCGTTTGACCGTCCAAGATGATCGTCAATTTTCGGATTTGGCCAATTTCATTACTTTGATGTATTGTTCAGGCTATAATATTATAGATCGAAAAGATTGACCAGAATGTTTATTATGTGAAAAGTTCAGACTATATAAATATATTAACTATAGTGTATACTAATAAGGCTCCCCAACAATGACTAAAATGGGAAAAAGAAAAATACAAGAGGGGGAATAATAAGTTAATAACCTATAATTCCAGAAGAAGCTTTAACGTTTTCAATTATTAAAATTTTGGCGATCTCGAATGTTTATTTAGTCGTTAGATTCCGTTTGTTAAAATATAAACACTGCTAGAAATTTACCGCGTCTTTGCTGCGGGCTTAGCTGATTAGGAAAAATGTGGGTGGGAGGATCATCATTGTTTAATGATACCGAGTAAAAGTGTCATTTTTTAATCAAATTCATCAATTCAATTCTTCTAATTAAATATACAACTAATCCAATTCATTTAAATCCAAATGCTATTGGAGCAGTGGATTCACTTATTGAATTTATGGATTGGATTGTTGCCAACCTATAGTTTAATACATGTAGTTTTATACTTTACAATATGATATCTAAAATTATTTTTAAGTAAAATATCATTGGAAAATTATTTTTTGGCATCTACAATTTTTTATTTTGGCATTTTAATACTTAAAGTTTTAAAAATTTACATATTGGTTCAATGTTTAGTTTACATGTCACTTGCGTCAATGATCCAATCCACCAATCCATGAATCCACCATCCATCTAATCCATGGATACACCAATTCAATCAACCAATCCATGAATCCAATTCATATTGCCATCTCTAGTACCAAGTGAAAAAGGATAATGCATTGTTTCCTTGTCCTTTTTTCGCTCACTCTTATTTTCTCATCTGATTTTGCCCACAAAACTATTGAGAAGCATGCTAGAATAATGCATGAAACTACGACTTATGCTTGTTTTTTGTCAAAAGGAGGATAGGAGCACCGTGGAAGACTCTAGCAATGGCATCATAAGGCTTATGTGTTATGTCTCTTTAGTTTGGAGTTTGCACATGTATGGATACCATGTGCTCAATGATGGGTTGTCGAAATTCGAACACAAGGTCCCTCGATCATCAAAGGCTTTTACATAATGTCAAGAACCAGTTGATCGTCATAATTCGAGTAATTTGAAAAGTTCCAATTATTCATCTTATATCATTTACTTACATTTAATTGTATTACAATGCATTATTGTTTTTTAATAACATTAATTGATTGTTCCCATTACTTAGTAGGTTACAATAATAGGTGACAGTAAGGTAGATTAGCAAAACTCTAGGTAACACTAACATTACTTCTCATTTATATATATTAACTAGCTAGTACACTTCCAAAAAATTATAAGTATTGTTATTATTATATTGTTAACAATCAAAACAAAGGTTTTCAATCTCCGAGTCGATCAGTCCGTAAAGCCGTTTTGATATGATCTGGTAAGAAAAACAGACCACACACACCAGTAGGTTGACTCACTGTAAGATTACCGGGTTGAAGGTCTCACGACGTCGTTTTTCTCTTTGTTTTGCGAAATATTCATTTTCCCCCGGTTTTCGTTTTCGCATAACACTATCTTTGAAATTCTAGCCGAACATTTGAATATTGATGTGATATAAGTGTGTGTGAATTTTCACTATTTGTTGGATCCAAATACAACCTGTTATTTTGGTGTAAAGTTATATGTTATCAATCATATGTTAGATGAGATTTGATATAATATATAAATGTACGAAAATATAATGACTACTTTTATATATTCAAGCTAAAACGATTGGGACATTAATCCTCAGACCTCAACCCACTTGCTCAATCGAGCCAATGAGTGAAACCGCGTTCACAACCTCTGGCGTGTACTATATAAATGAAGAGTGCCCGCAATTAATTAACATTCACTCATAAAAACAACCCTCTAAACACAATATAACCTCTTTAAATTAATAATTTCTCCGGTCCCTACTTAGGCCAGTGAAAAAAGAGCATATTTAATAAAATAATAAGAAAATAATTTTTGAGAACCAACCTACATAAATACATGTATTTTAACTCTATAAATTAATAATTTTAAAAATACAATTCATCTAGAAATATATAATAAAGCTAGGACAATCTAGAAAAATATGAATATATAGTTGTTTGTTTATTCTTGAAGTTCAAGTCTAGTAGAAGTTCATCTTGACTAACTTTCAAATGGAAAGTTTGGTCAAGCCACACCATCAAATGTTTTTGAATGCATGAGGGATGATCTCTCTTGTAGTCACATAACTGTTTATGTATTTGATCGGTCATGGTGGACTTTTGAACACCTCAAATGAGAAGTCATTGTTGAATATGATTTTTACAATATTTTTGTAGTAATATTTATAGTGATGGAGTCACAATATATTCGATAATCATATTTAAAGTATGATATAGGGGTGCAAGTAATATAAAACATGAATCTAGACCATCTACAAGAATACATATAATACATTTATCTTGAAAGAATACATAATTTTCTTCTATTAAATTTTGGTACAATGAATACGTAGAATGCGATAAGTTATCGTATGAACTTGAAATGTTTGTAAGATACGATGAACGTACACCATAAGAAAAAGGCAAAATACACTTGGATAGCTTTAACTTTACACTTTGTGACAATAATAGCCAAATTTTGAAAAATACACAAATATAGCCACACTTTCGAAACTAGTTTGACAAATTTAGCCATTTTCGTTAAAAACTTTAACACTGTTAGTTACTCCGTAAGTAATATAGACTTTACGCTGATGTAGATGCCACCTGGATAACCCGTCATCTCCAACTAGACATGTAGTGCTCACTTAGATGCCACGTTATATTTTAAATTAAAAAATTATTTAAAAAATAGTTGAGAAAAACAAGAACACTAATTTCAAGTTTCTCAAAAGCCTTTGTGTCCTTTCTCAAACACACAGAACCCTTCCATCTCTCTGTGTTCATCGATGGTGCAATTACGAGAAGAAGAACATGAGAGCTTTTGAATTCATCAATGGAGATGAACTCCACAAATCCCGTCAAGCTTATTCCCCTCAAACACCTTCTTCAACAACCCTTCCCGTCCATGAAATTGACCATTAATCCCAGTTGTTCGATCCTCACCCCTTCCACCAAACTGGCGGTCGTCACTATTCCTGAATCCTCGACCGATCCTTCTTGATCGTCGAAGTAGTCACCGCTCTCCACAACCTCATTCTCTCCTGTCTCTTCCTCCTCCTCTCCAACTCCCCATCCCCACGGTTGATACGGCCGCAACATCGCCACATCCAAAGATCAATTCAGCCCACTTCAAACAACATAGAAACCCTTGAGTTTCGAATCCAACATTCAATCAGGGTAGCGGCGACCCAGAGGACTAGGACGGTCTCAATCTCTCCGGCAAGCTCTGGATTCCTCGGTGAAGGAGATTGGTAGAGGCGGTGGCAGATCTGGAGACGATAGGCAGATACAGACCCCACACCTCTATGACCACAACCGGATATGAAAATAGATGTCGGAGTCGGCCGAGCCTTGGCGGTGGTTGGGTTTCGATCAACAAGGATCCCTCGTGCTTTATGTTGATGATGGCGTTGAAAAGGTGTTTTTCCTATGATTTTCACGCCAACGTCTCGACGATTGACGCTGCGGAGTCACTCTCGTTTTCTCCGATCTGTTTCACTCAGACCTGAATGACGAATAGAGGGAGAAGGGTGGATGAAGCGGCAACACCGATACCAACAGGTCGAGGAAACGAACAAGATGAATAAGCTAGAAGAGGAAGAAGAAAAGGAGGAGCACCAAACGTCGGAGAGGGAGATGGGTCAGTGGAGGGGTTCGTCGCGAAGGAGATCCGTTGAGGGGGACATGCAATTTTTGCTTTTGTTTGTTTATTTATTTACTTAATTGTTTTTGGAGTATTTGAGTATTTCCACTTGGCATGACTTTCGAAGAAAATCACCATGTCAACGTTAGTCCAGTCAGCATCAATGATAATTCTGTTAAAGTTTTGACGAAATGGCTATTTTAGTGTATTATTCAAAATTTGGCTATTATTGTCATAAAGTCGAAAGTTCTGGCTATATATGTGTATTAAGCCTAAGAAAATCCTCTTTAAATTAATAATTATTAATATATAAATTTATTAATAAATATTATAATTTAATAATTTTCACGGTTTCGACGATATTAATTTATAGAGATTATATTGCACTTCCAAATAAAATCGATGTTTTGATTCACCTACTATGAGATACCCTTATGGCCCGTTTACTTGCCATTCCATTTCTGTTAGCTGCCACAATAGAAAACAAAATTAAAATGAAAACGAAGCTGTCATTTTCTGGAAAACAAAACCTGAAAAAACCTTGTTTAGCTAAGAATTTTGATGGGTTCTGAAACTGAGTTCTGAAAATAAAAACCTGTTTAGTTGCTTCATTCTTTTTTCTGATTTTTTATTATCATACAACCCTAACCATGATTATAATTTTTAATTCGAATTAAATAGTTTTAAACTATAAATAAACACAATACAAGTAAAACATCTTATGTTAATTAAGTGCTATATATCGCTACCGACTACCGTTGACCTCAATCAGCAGCTATATATCTCTAGCCACCTTCGATGCTTCAATTAAGAAAAAAGGTTTCCATATGCTTGATTTGCAAGGTGAAGTTTCATGAGTGTGGTTGATGTGTAATGTGGCCTAGCATCTAGCATAGCATGTCATGGAAAGTTAAAAATCTCACCAAACTCATTGAAAGTATCGCTTTCCTATGGAATCGTAAACCATTCAACGATCTACCTAATAATATCACTCATTTGAGACAAATCTTGATATCATTGGAAAGAATTTTTTTACTAAACTTGTCTCCGGTCTTCATATACTTGCATTCTCTTTCGTTCTATCATATACAACATGATCGATGGATTGAAGATCAAGAACACAACTTTACATTTCCAATCCTCATTCATTCATTGTCTTTTGTGTTCCGAGTTCTGTATCCACGTCTTAGTCCTTGTGTTGCAGTCTGTGTTACAAGTCCAAGGTTACTTCAACAATTGGCAAATTAAAGAGAAATGTGAAAGGCTCACGTCACTGGTATGACTAACTAGTAGAGAACTGCCACCAACCCACTGTATAATTGTCGAATGATGACCAGAAAGTTTCCCCTGTAGTATGATGGATATAAGAATCTTGGAGGGTGTCTGCTGGAGGAATGGAGGATGAATCGAGAAGGGAAAGCTCCTTTTCGGTGCTGCTTCTACTGGGATGAGTCGCCTGCAGGTGCCATTTCCGCCGGCTGGAGCTTCTCCCGTCGGGGAAGATTCCGTCTCGCAGATGATGGCGGCGTGGGGCTGGCGACTCCACCCAGGAAAATGTGCGGCTGGAGCTTCTCTGCTGGAGGAGAAATCGAGAAGGGGAAAGCTCGAACGCGGGGTTGGCGAGGCGTGGGGCTGGCGGAGGAAGACGATGGGGCTGGTGGTGGTTTGGGTGGAGAAGGAAGTGGCGGCCGGCGGGTCTGTTGGAGGGAGAGGGAGATGTCGGCTGGGCTGCGAGGAGTCGAGTGAGGTCGAGCGAGGAGTTCTTCTAGGTTATGGGTGAAAGAGTTGGGTAAAAAACGGCGCCGTAGGATCAAGGAGGAAAAAGAAAAAAAAATGTGGTTGCGGTGATTCGAACGCGGGCTCTTATTAATAGCTAGCGCGCGATTTCCGCTGGGAAACGGGGGAATAACCCGTCCCCTTACTTATAGAAAACGACTATTTATTGTTTATCCACAGCTTTCCCATTTGTAACAATTGATTTTTTCCAACGAAAACGAGATGGACAAGTGAACACGTTTTTTGTCATTTGTTTCTTGTTTTTTATTTTTTAAACAAAAAATAGAAAACGAAATGGGAAATGAACAGAGCATTAGTTTTAAACGTTCACGGGAATGCTTGGAATTTGTTAGGAATCAGGATATGTTAGTAATTGTTATGAACTCCTTTTACTACAAAAAAAATTGTTATGAACTCCTTATTTTCTTGATCTTGCTGTTGTTAGTTTTGTGTAACTAAATGACCTTGATAGAAATGGATTGGGATATTATTTTATTTTGACTAATATAAATATGAGCAGTCGGATAATTACTATTATATAATTGGTTCTTTGATATTATTTTTGACTAATATTTTTTTTTTACGAAAAAGATCGCTTGTATTACCAAAAATAACAAAGTTACAATAACTCGACCTCCGAGCACAACCACACCCGGAAATCAAAACCATTCCCCCCTTAGGAACAAATTCAGGGCTTTCTTGGCCATCATCTGGGCCACCCTATTGTTTTGTCTACCTACAAACTGCACACTAAAATCCAAGTGGTTATCGAGGAGGATGCGAACTTCTTGGAAAATAGCTCCGACCTTCGCGTCCCTAGTGATCCTGGTATTTATCTTGCAAATCACCATCTTAGCATCACCAACGAAGCGAACACTTGCAAGCCCCCCCCCCCCCCCTCCCCCCAACACCACCGTAGCGCATCCCGAAAAGCCATCAACTCTATCACCATTGGACCAAACAAACCTCATAGGAAATTCCTCTGGCCATTAGGACCTCGCCGTTGTCATCCCGAATCACAAAGGCCACCTCACCATGAGACTCAGACCTTACCGCTCCGTCAAATTGACACACTACACCTCCCGGTAAGACGGCTGGCATTTCTCCCTGCTCGTCCAAAGCAGTAGGGACCACCCCTCCACCGTGAGAGAGACTTGCTACCCATTCTTTGACTTGGAAGTGAAATTTTCTTACCAAGACGGCCATCGTCCCCTGCACTCCTTCAAAAGCCACCAAGTTTCTGGATTCAAGATTCTCCAGAGCAACAGGAGACGAGTAACCATGTTTGGCGAAGAGTCACGTTCCAAGAACCGATGAAAGAAAATAGCAAAACCCCCACTTGGCGAAGCCTCAAGGGCTGACATCAAACCCGAAGTCTCCCATAATGTCAACGCCACAGGGCAGGAGAAAAATAAGTGTTCAATAGTTTCTTCCGCCCCCAGCAAACTGGACATCTTGGTAACACATGAACCTTCTTCACAATTAAAGCTTCCATAGTCGGAAAAGTGCGCTGCAGTAGTTGCCAAGTGAATAAGCGGAGCTTAGGCTGAACCTCAAAGGCCCAAACCTTCTTCCACAAGGAACTATCCAACGGATCGCAGATGGCCTTACTCCTCCCCGTCGGCCGGTTCAAAGACTCAACCAATCTATACCCCGACTTCACGGTATAAATCCCCGAGGGGTCATGCTGCCAAACTCATGTATCCATACTAGGAATTTGCGGGATCGATACCTCAGGTATAGCATGCCTAGTCTCATCGAAAAAAACTGTCTCCAAACACTCATGGCACCAAGACCGAGTATCTTGATCAATTAAAGAAAACACACACTCCCCTCCTAACATAGATATCCCTTCACGCAACTCAGGCAATCTTGGAGCGATCTTCAAAATCCAGCCCACGTACATGATAGGAATGGATTCACAAGAACACACCTGGCAACCCAGCCCCTTCATCAGCAAACGAGCGCCATGCAGAATACTCTGCCACGCCCAAGAGGGCCGGGACCCAAGTTTAGCCGAGAGGACCGAACCCTTAGGGAAGTATTTCCAGCGAAAAATTTGGGCCAACAAGGACTCAAACTCATCCAAAATGCGCCAAACAACTTTAGCCAACAATGGTGATTGAAATGTTCAAACCGGTGAAAACCCATCCCACCTCCGTGCTTGCTCCTACATAATCGAGACCAGGAGATCCAATGAATTCCCGGTCTACCAGTCAAGGATCCCACCAGAATTGGGTCATATGTCTATCCATTCTCCGACAAAGAGTCACTGGTAGTTTAAAGTACGACATCCCATGTACTGGCAAGGCCCCTGCAACTACTTTAAGAAGTGTTTCCTTGGATGATTAAGATAAATGGCTTTGCTTCCAACCTTTAATCTTGTCAAGGAGCTTCTCCTCGAGAAAACGGAAGGTGTCCTCCTTAGAGCGAGCCACCACCATTGGGAGACCCATATATTTATCATGTACCCCAATCGCACCAATCTCGAGCGTACCACCCATTACTAATTGGTCCTCCTACTCAATGTTTTTACTAAAGCAAACCGCCGACTTGGCTAAATTTACTTTTTGACCACTCAAAACTTCATATTCATAAAGCACAGCCAAAATGTTTTGGCACTCTTGAAGTGATCCTTGCAAAAAGAGGTAAGAGTCATCAACAAAGAGCAGGTGAGAAACCCGCGGAGCCCTTGGGCTCACCCGAACGCTAGCGATGGCTTAGAAATGCAAAGACCGGAAGAAACCAAACGGTCGCCCATTCATCATCACCGAGAAAGATGCCGTAGAAATGCATTCTTTCACCCAACGAATACACACTAGACTAAATCCCAATTTTTCAAGAACAACCAACAAGAAAGGCCATTCGACCCTATCATAGGCCTTTTCCATGTCAACCTTCAAGGCCATAAAGCCCTTCTTGCCCGTTCTTTTATTTTTGAGATAATGCATAAGCTCATGTCCAATGAGAATATTATCCACAATCTGACGTGTGATTAAAGCTGCGCAAGATATGCCCATTCTGAAAGAATGAATGCACAGCGGAAATCACCGACTCGCCCACAATATCCCAATAGATTTTGAAAAACTTTCCTGTAAAACCATCAGAACCAGGCGCCTACATCGCCCCCATATGGAAAACAGTTTTCCGAATCTCATCTGGAGTAACCTCCGCCACCAGACTGGCATTCATTTGATCCGTGACCTTCCCTTCCAAAGGAAGAGAGCCACACATTCCCGGATGTCTCTAGTATTAGCCTCCGCTATGAACAAATGCTCGTAGAATTCCTTGGCCAACGCCGATTTCTCAGTTTCTTCCTCCGCCCAGGAACCATCATCTCTACGCGGCCTCTCAACATAATTCCGCCGGCGCCTTGTACGAGTGACAGTATGGAAGTAAGAAGAATTCTTATCTCCGACCTTCAACCAATGAACCTTGGATTTCTGCTTCCAATAGAGTTCCTCCGCCGCCCATTGTAGAGTGAGTTCCTTTTCCAACTAATTCACGCGGTCCCAATTGACTGGAGATTCATCCTTTAAAGCCCCAATCTCCTTTTGCAAAACTTGGATTTGTCTTTCCGAATTAGTTGTACCCGCTTTGCTCCACTAGTATAAGAGATGTCGTAATTTTTTAAGTCGAGTCCATAGCTGAAACATAGCCGAACCTTGGATAGATTTGCTCCAAACGTTCTCAACCATGGGACGAACTTTGGCATTATCCGCCCATCTGGCGTCAAAACGGAACAATCTTTTTGCCGTTTTCATAAAAGATTTCTCCGCCACAATCAAGGACCGATGATCCGACCCAAGGTCTGTACGGTGAATCACCAATGATTGGGGGAAACATTGTAACCAGTCCGCAGAGACCAGAGCTCTGTCTAGGCATTCTTGGACGCAAGCTGAACACATAAGCCTGTTCGTCCATGTGAACTGGTTCCGGGAGAAACCCAAATCATGTAACTCCAACAAATCCACGAGCTGACGAAAAGGTTGAGATTGGTTCGAAATCCACACTCTCCCTCCCATTTATATTATTTTGACTAATATAAATATGAGCAGTCGGAAAATTTCCAATATAATATTACCAATGTGAAAATTGCAAGGATTGCGAAACCGTACCGGACGTCATACCGGATTCTTTATTGGTAGGATATTTTGTGGTACGATCGTGGTTCAACCGTTTCATGCCGATACCGTTTTTGTAATAGTAAATTATTTTTTTGGTCAAAAAACCGTACCGGCCACAACATGATACCATTCTGGAATAATACCGGAATAATAACAAAATACCGGATAGAAAATCAAAAAATAAAACAGTAGCGCATATAAATAATGGCTAGGCTGTGTATTTTTGGGTCATGGAATAAAATGATTACTTTTCCCTCCTAATCTCTCTCGTTCTAATCCTCTCCTTCTCTCTCTCTCATACTTTCCCCTTTCTCAACTCTGCTTCCCTTCTGTTCTTCTTCCACTCATCCTCTTCTCCTCAAAACAGCGACGAAATCCCAATTACTCGCCAGGAAGTGATCGTCGGCAGACCTATGGGTTACACACCTCTTTCTCTCTCTTCCGCTTTGTCCCTCTCTACATGCAGAAATTCAGGACACAAATCCCTACTTCCCCATCTTATTCCAACTCTCTCTCTCTCTCTTGATCTGCAGAGATAGAGGAGGAGGGAATCCGTCTAGATCAACAGAGGCGACCCTCATGATTCTCTGTATTCGTGGAGGCATGCAAATCTACAGCGAGGGATTCACCGGTGAGGGATTGACACTGACGAATCTACGGTGGGGTTTAACGGCGGCTAATCTGCGGTGAGGTTTGACGAAGGCTTAAGCGCCGCCTTTGCTTTGCTGACCTAGGGTCGAAACTCGAAACATGACTTTTTGGCTGGGATTGAAGGACCGCCGGATGGATCAAAACCGGCCGGTATTTCGCGGCAGGCCGGTCGAATACAAAATACCGGCCGGTACCATATTCTAACTTTGCAATCTGTACCGTATCGGAATTGGCCTGGTTTCCGGTTTTTCCGGTTCAACTGGCCGGTACGGTACGGTAAAACAGTCCATGGAAAATTGATTACAATGAATATTAACTTTAGCAAATATTGCGTTGTTATTATTCAATCTGGCCAACAGGCCGAGCTTTGAAGCTAGTGGCTAAAAATGGTAGAGAAATATTCAAGATGAGAATAATGGCTTAGGATAGGGTGAGTAATCATTGGTTACTGATTTATGAGTAACTAAATCTTGACTTTTAGATCTAAGTGGGTCCAGAAAATTCAGATATAAAGGTTGTCAATTAATGACATTTTATTTTCTCTAGTTTTCTTAATCGGCTCTTATCTTGTTTGTTCTAACTCGGATTTTCATTTTTTTTTTCATAGATGGAACGAGTTCGTTGTGCTCTACAAAATGAGATCAATTTTCAATATATTTCGAGAGACTTTTTTTTACCAACTACATACCATATGACTACATACCATATGGTAACTTCTTCGTTTTTAAGTTGTTTTTAAAAACGCTTGCTCAGAAAGAACGAGTTCATCATGATCTATTGAATCTACAAATTTCTGGGTGAATAAAATACTAGACAAAAAATTACCATACTTTACCACTATGGTATGTGGGTGGTAACTTGTAGTAAACAATGATGAAAGTCGTAAATGACAGTTAGTATACTACTACTATCATGTATTCAACCTTCTTACCATATTGGTATGTTCATACCATCATGATACGCTTTCTTACCATATGGTATTAAATAGGAGCATACCATATGGTAAAGACCAGTAAAAAAATTATTCAATTTTTTTGTAATAAAAATATATCAAGGTGAATATCATTTTAAAGAGCACATTTAATCTGATTTATCTATGCAAAAAAAAAAATTAAATTTCGACTTAAAACAAGAGACAAATCATCCGTTAAAGATTAAAGGGGAAAATATAAAATATTTTTCAGGAAAGAGAGGGATACTGAGAGTGCAGATCTGGTGACTAAGGGGGGGTGCTTAGTCACTTGGCTAAGCCTCCCTCAGCCATTGGATCCTTTTTAGTTGATCTAATTGTGGAAATAAGGAAAGGGATGATTAAATAATGGGAGGGGTAATTTTGGAATTCATTTTTTTTCCTCCAACCTGTCTTCTTCTGCGTAGCACCACCCCCATGAGAGAGAGAGAAGTTGCAGCGGGGGAGAGAACGCCGGGAAAATAGAGAGAGAAAAGAGAGGGAAAGGAGAACGCGACAGAGGCGTCAGCATTGAAGAGAGAGAAAGAAGATCTCGTAGTCGTCGAGAAAATAGAGGAGAGAGAGAGACGATGGCGGAGGAGAGAGAGGCGGCGGAGAGAGAGTGTCGGCGACAATGGAGGAGAGAGAGGCGGCGCGGCGATGGAGAGAGAGAGAGAGAGAGGTGACGACGACAGTAGAGAGAGTCGGCGGCGGCAGCGGTGGAGAGAGAGTCAACGACGACGACAACGGTGGAGAGAGAGGGAAGAACAATGATTTGTAATGCAAGTGTTGTCGGTTTGTATTGTTAGTATATTTGTACATAATTTCAGTGTGATTTGTATGGTTTGTATGTTTTGTAAAAATGACAAACATGGTGAACAAAAATAACAAAGTTTACAAACATTACAAAAAAACCGACAAACATTACAAAATAACAAAGCTTACAAACATTACAAAATAAACCGACAAACATTACAAAGCATACTAACATTACAAAATACCACTACTTACAATACAAATCGCTAAAAATGTATTAGACATCAATGAATACAAAGTATACAAATCATAACATAAAAGTATACAAACTAGAGCAACAAATATTATAAATCAAAATATATACAAATTAGTCATGTAAACATTACAAACAGAGCATACAAAAATAATAAAGTAGAATGATAAACGATACAAACAGAATTGGTATAAACATTACAAACTCGACTTATAAACATTAGAAAATAGGTCGACAAACATCACAAATCAGTACTGTCACCAGAAAATTTGCCTTCGCCGGAAAGCTCTCTCTCTCTCCCTCCCTCCCTCCCTCTCGTAGCTATAACTATTTTGGGCGCACAAAAGCCATTGGGTTGGGGACACAAAAATCCCGCTGCCGGGAGAATTCCCCAGAAAAGAAACGATCATCGTTTCTCTCTCTCTCTCCTCCTCCTCCTTCACGACCGTTGGCATCTCTCTCTTCACATACTCCACGGCCGCGCCGTCGTCTCTCCTCCTCTACGGCCGTCGCCGCCATCTCTCTCCTCCTCTACGATCGCCGCCGTCGTCCCTCGCCGGATGCGTCTTTCTCTCTCCCCGCAACAGCCAATTTTTTTCTCTCTCCCCGCTGCTCATAACTCTCTCTCTCCCCCACAGCACACAACGGAGGAAAAATGGAAACAAATTCTATTATTTGTATTTTTTTAATTATAATTATTAAATGTATAATTACTTTGTTGCCCTTCATTAAAGTGAGTGAATTATAGCCACAGGATTTAAATGAGATTGGGTGGCTGAGATTGACTTAGGCAAGTGAGTAAGGGACATTTTATTTGCTATCTATATCTATCTATCTATCTATCTATCTATCTATCTTATATATTATGGCAATTCAAAAGTAACTTCTTGCCACATAAGCACTTGGAGAAATAACTAGTTTCCTAGGTGGACATTTTATTTGCTAACAAAAAAATTTATTATTGATCTATTTATGAAGCTATCTCTCTCTTCTTTTAGTATTTATGCTCACTTTTACTCAACATTAATAATAAGTTACATTGAGAATGTAAATAAAAATAAGCATAAATAATAATAGTTTTGTCAATTAAAGAAAATATAAAGACGAAAACAAAGAATGACATATATCGGGTTTGTTTAAACAAAAAAGTATGATTAAATCTTATCAAGTAAATTATCTTCTCATTTTAACCAAAACTTAATAATGAGTTACATTTTGATGAAGAATTGAAAGAAGTACACACATAATAATATCTTTGTCTATTAAATAAAATATAACGACACAAAGAGACAAATCAAGCGTTTGACAATCAATCTACTTTGAAAAATATCTATATATAATATCTTTGTCTATACAATCATTCTTACATGTTGCTAAACTTAACCAAACACACATAAATAATAAATTTTGTGTCCAGTAAAAAAAATATAAATAAGAACATAAAGTAACATATACCACATTTGTTTAAATAAAAAAATATCAGATTAAACCTTATGAAGTAAAATTTTCACTCATTTTTACTAAAATTGAATGATAAGTTACATTTTGATGAAAAAATTAGACAAACATGAACATAAACAATAATGTTTTTTTCGATTAAACAAAATTTATATGAAAAGAGAGAAAATAAACATTTGACATTCAATTATCCATGAAAAATAAACTATATTACTTTATATTTTGTTGAAATGAAACACTCTCTTATTCGTAAATTATATGTCTATAATATAAAATAAGTATATTTAGCAAAATGTCAGAGTATAATCTTGATCGAGTAGTTATAGAGTTATTTATTTTAAAAAGACTTCTTATTCCTCAGATCATGTTCTACCTTAAACTCCTCAAATGAAGAGAAATCGCATGTGCAATAATTTTATAATGTGTCATAAGTTCACATTAATAATATTTGTTCTATATCATGTTGATTGAGCAAGCTCTATTGAGGTCCTAAGTCGTATGCTAAGAAATTTTCTTTCAGACTTAGACTTATCGTCAACGATTATAAATCAAAATTTTCAAAATGAGTTAAGTATGATTGTTGACGAACTTTGACTTCATACCCTTGGATGAGACACAAGATTCCTTGAATAAAACATAAAGGAATGTTAGAGAATCTTTGTCGAGAATCTACGATAAACATCGCGCTTCATCAACTACAAACCTAGACATTTACCAAATTAAGGTTGACAATTTTTAGTAAGATAGTCAATTGGGATAAACATATTTATCCAACAATCAAGTATCTTTATCCAGTAATCTCAACTCTCAAAATTGGTTGCCAGTTCGTCCAAACTCGAGAAACACGAATTCATATATGTTGTATAGCTAATAAGTTAATGCAAATAATCAAATGAAATCCACCGATATTGTTCAAATGATAAGACATTTTAAATGAACTTGAAATATGTGTGTATTGTAGACACTCTTTATCAAATATTAATATATAAGTTATAAAATCTTTGAATATTACACATTCAACGACCATGTTCAGACCAAAATCCTCGATAGTGTGTGTGAGTGTCTTAGATTGAGATTCTAAGACAACATATAAACAATGACCACGAGTTGAACTTCAAAAATTAACAATTGATACATATTGTATAATATACTAAATTTAAGTGTCTTGATAAAAAAACTAACATCCAAAATGGAAATGAGTCGAGATTATAGAATTTAATCATCACGGGGGCTACGGTGTGTGTCAAGTTTCAATATGGATGAATAAATTGATCCAATAATGAAGTATCTTTCCTAAGAATGTCTCACTAAAAAGTCCTAATCTTTACAACATTGGTCAAGAGTTCGTCCAAACTTGAGGATCATGAATGTGTATTGGATTTACAAAGGACCTAAAATCTCAATCCTTTTCGGGGGCTAAATACCTCTGATCACAACCATAGTTGTCAAAGAAGAATGAAAAGAAGCCCAAAAAAATAAAAAAAGAACATAACCTCCGATACGCTGAACAGAATAAAACCATATTGAGCTATGATCTTGTCATCCCTACCCTTTTATTCTCCATAGAGGGGGGGGGGAGATAAGAAATAAATAGCATCATCTTAGGATTTACCTCTTTATATATTACATATCAAACGATAGACAACCTCAATGGTTGTCTGAGGTTATGGGGTAAAAGCGGGATCTCTATCCCGAGGGTGGGGGATAAGCAAGTAGCACTTTTAATATGAGTATTAGGCGAGATAAGATAGGTCTGGCGAAGTATCTGGATAATTTTGAGTCTACTATATATATACATATATATAATATCAAGGTATACTACCTTTTCGTTTTACTCAAGATACGATAGAAGATAGGTACGGCAAAGTATTTGCATAAACTAGAGGTTAGAGAATTAGGGATTAGAATTCACCTATTAGAGGTTAGGGTATAGTATCATGCTCCAAAAAACTTCGGAGTCTAAATAGTAAAACTCAATGGTCATATGGTAGTGTGTGTGTGGTTCAGGTTGGCGTACGCTAAATAGTAGTGTTTTGGTTGACAAATTTTGACATAAGTTATAAATGGGACGTGACAGCGACATAATTTATGATTAGATATTGGAAATATTGGAAATTTTCAATATAGACATACTACAAACTCTTTTATGAATCAAGAACAAAAAATATTTAGAAGATCCAAAATAATTTAAACATATAAATAAGTTAATTAATATAAATTATAAAATAAATCTCTCCGGCCAACGGGCCGGATAAAAAGCTAGTTACTAATTAATCAATTCATTCATTCGTACGTGCTAGCCGCAAAGTGTGTGCGTGTACTATATAAATGAAGAGTGCCCGCAATTAATAGTATTCAGTATTCACTCATCAAAACAAAACCCTCTAAACACTTTCCTAGTTTGGCTAAATCAAATTCAATTACCTCTTTTTTTTTAACAAAAATCTGTATGAACTTTTATTGATCAGTCACCGCAGTTACATTATCCAGCTGTAGCTGATCAACTAAATAAACTGGAGGTCTCTCCACCCAAATAACCGGCTCATTCCACCTAGTCTCTACATGCGCCATAAGATGTGCACCTTTATTAGCATCTCTGCTTATGTGCCTAATGGCTTTCACCCGCATCATCTCCAGCTGTCGACAGGTATTCCTGCAAACCACCGTTACTTCATCCTTAGTTGCATTCGGGTTTTGTAATCTGTGAACCACTATCAAGCAATCCACATCCATCTCAATATCCATGAAACTGAACTGGTGAGCCAGCTGAGCCCCCATCTCCGCCGCTAAGGCCTCCGCAATCTCCACCTCCAAAGACCCCTTAATCTTCTTACCCGCCGCGAGCAGGAAGTTTCCACCGTCATCTCGGAACACTACTCCCAAACCAGCCCCCCCGCCAGGTAAAATACCCCCGTCGATGCACATCGAGATTTTTCCCAACGCCGGTCGTTGCCATTGTCGCCTTGGAGCCACCCTAAGGGTTCTTCAGCCTTCTTTTGGTGTTGTTTATATTCCGATAACAAATACTTTGCTCTCATAGGTATCTCCTCTTCGGCGATTTTTGCTCCATTAAACATGTGAGCGTTTCTTTCCTTCCGGAGAAACCATAATAGCATGCACCAATTTTCGAGACCATCCTCATCACCCAGTTCAACCACCAACTTCACCCATTCATAGCAAAAGACTCCATCACACAGCTCAAAACAGCTCGCCATTTCAGTCTTTCACCAAATTCTCGACCCCCATTCACAAGCATGAAAACGGTGGACCTGGGTTTCTTGTTGATCGCAAAAGGGGCATCGATCTCCCCATCTTGGATTCCGATGACTGACAAAAGTCCAACAGGTAAGACCTCCCTCATGAATTTCCACATGAATTTCTTAACTTTTGGCTGGACCTGCCTTCCCTAAACTGCCTTCCAAATCCGAGCTTCGCCAACTTCTTTGCACCCCATGTTGGAACTTGAAACCTTTTAACCATTCACGATACCCTTTCTTTACCGAGTAACTCCCATCGCGTCTATTATGCCAGATTAAGGTATCAATTTCGCCATTACCCCGCAATGGGATATGCAAAATAGCCTCAATAGTATCCTTAGTAAAACAGCTCTCCAGAACCGTTAAGTCCCAAGCTTCGTCTTCTAAACTCACCAACTCGCGTACCCGGGCATCAACTGCCAATCCAACTGGCGCTGAAGGGATGAACTGTCCAGGGTTGGGATCCACCGATCCCCCCACACTCTCACTTCAGTGCCCGTGCCGATACGCCAACGGAGACCTTGGTTAAGAAGTTACTGAGCACTCATTAGACTGCGCCAAACAAAGCTCGGCCTATATCCCACATGAGCATTAAGAATCGATGACTTCTTATGGTACTTAGCTTTGAAAATGCGAGCAATGAGCGACTCCGGTCGCTGAACCATGTTCCATAACTGCTTAGCTAAGAGGGCAACATTGAAACCCCTCAAGTCCATGTACCCCAAGCCTCCTTTCTCCTTCGGACTTACGAGTTCCTCCCTTCTTAAACCATGTGATCGCCTCTCTTCGCCATGCTGACCCCACCAAAAGTTCATGATCAAGCTATGGGCTTCATCTATAATCCCATCCGGGATCCTGAACACTGACATCACGTAAGTGAACTATGATTGAGCCAAGGACTTAATCAGTACCTCACGAGCTGCCGCAGATAGCGTCTTCTCTTTCCATCCCTTCAGTTTCTTCCTGAGCCGATCTTTTAAATCCCGGAACAACAACTTCTTCGACCTCCCTGCTTTCGTTGCTAGTCCTAGGTACTTGTTATGCTTATCTACTCTCTTCATCCCTAAAATACCACCTACCTCCAAGCTCCGGTGGATTGTAACATTTGGGCTGAACGAAACCTCTGACTTATCAAAGTTCACCATATGACCGGACTCCTTTTCATAATCTTGAAGTATCTTCTTTAATTCCATACTTTCCTGAGTTGTAGCCCTGGCAAAAAAGATACTGTCGTCAGCAAAAAAACAGATGAGATACCACCGGAGCCCCTTGAGCCGGTTGCACCCCACGCATCCTCTTCTCTTTCACCGCCAACGCCGTATAAGAGGAAAGGCCTTCAGCACAGATGAGAAACAAGTACGGAGAAAGAGGATCCCCTTGACGTAGCCCCCGTCCTGGAACAATAACCTGCGACTGATTATCGTTCACCAGCACTGAGTACGTCACTGTATTGACACAAAACATGATAAGCGAGATCCATCGCTCTCCAAAACCCATTCATCGCATAACCCCCTCTAAAAACCACCATTCCACTCTATCATAAGCTTTGACCATGTTGATCTTTGCCGCCATCACACCATTGCGACCTTTCTGTTTCTTCTTCATTGAGTGGAAGCACTCAAAAGCTGCCATGACGTTATCAGTTATGTATCTACCAGGAACAAAAGCACTCTGCTCCGGCGAGATTACTTTATCAAGTAGCCCCTTTAAGCGATTTGCGAGAACTTTGGCCACCAACTTGTACAGCACATTGCATAGACTGATCGGTCTGAATTCCTTAGGGCTCATCGGCTTCTTAGTTTTAGGAATCAGAGCAATCAGAGTATGGTTGAGTTGATCAGGCATCTCCCCACGTTCAATCACCCCTGCCACAGTCTGAACCACTTCATCACCCACTATTCCCCAGTATTTACGGAAGAACAGTACCAGCATACCATTAGCTCCCGGTGCCTTTCTTGGACCCATCTGCTTCAGAGCAGTAACCACTTCCTCCCTTTCCACCGGTCGCATCAGTTTAGCATTGTCACCATCGGTAATCGATCTTTGCACGGAATCAATGACTGGGGTCACATCCAGGAAAACACCTGCAGTGAAAAATTTCACAAATTAGTTAAATAGACACTCAGAGGTTCCTTTCTGCCTAACGAACCAGCGACCATCATCCTCTTTCAGTTTCCGAATCGTGTTCCTCCTCCACCTTGCAGAAGCTTTTCGGTGGAAAAAATTAGTGTTTTATCCCCGCCATCAAGCCAGTCCGCTCTGGACCTTTGCTTCCAGTAGTTTTCCTCATTATCTTCTAGCTCTTCTAACTCCGCCTCCAACTGCCTTCTTTGTGAGAGAACTGTTTCGGATACAGGGATCTGCTCTAGAGATTTCATGGCTCGTTGGATTTTTTATCTATGCCAACCGAACCTTGGAAAGGTAACTTTGCTCCACTACTCCTGCGAGTACCTGCAGGCTTCGATCTTTCCCAAAGTGCTCCTCGACCCCTGCGCCTCCCAGGTTTCCGCCACCACTCTCTGACATTCCTCATGCTTTGCCCAAAATGGCTCAAATCGAAAACTCCATCACCACTGAGGTTCTACATCCTCATCCCCACAAGTATCACAGACAATTGGTCTGTGGTCCGAACTAGATCTATCCAAATGTCTAACACAAACATTAGGATGTTGATCAAGCCAAGAACCAGACCCCACAAACTTATCCAGTCTTTCCTCAATATAATCACCCGCTCTTCTTCTATTTTCCCATGAGAATTCATATCCCTCAAAGCCCAATTCCCTCAAGCCCGAGTCAATAAGACATTCATGAAAGTGAAGCATGGCCGCATCCGCAGAAGACCTCCCACCTCTCTTTTCTACATTCGATAAGATCTGGTTGAAGTCGCCCCCACAAAGCCAGGGTCCAGACCACTGAGCCTCTAAGTACCGAAGCATCTCCCAGGTTCTGTGCTTATCCTCTCCTTCTTACCAGCCATAAATGCAAGTAAACCTCCATATACCTCCCTCATCTTCTATCTTTGTATCAATATGATTCAAAGATTTCGTCATAACAGTCAAATTAACTTGCTCGGCCCACCAAATGCTTAAGCCTCCAGCACGACCCCCACCAGAAGTGCCTGTCGACCAACTCATCCCATCCTTAAATCCCAGCGCTTTGCGAGTCTCTTCATTCTCATCCTCGGTCTGCTTAGTTTCCATTAAAAATACTACTAACGGGGAGGTTTGTGGCAATAGCGACTTCAACGCTCTAACTTCCGCTTATTCGCCAATCCGCGGCAGTTATAGCTCAGAATTCTCATTTATGACCCGAAGGGGATAGGTTCCCCGCACATTTTCCATTTTTGTTATTTGACAACGTATGAGTATTGCCCCCGTGCACTCCTAATTGTTTACTCGGTTCAGATTGGGCACTTTTAGACCCTCTGCCACCCTCCTTTTGCTTTGCGATTCGGTCCTTATCTCTCCCAGCATTCGCCCCTCCACCTGGACTCACTCCTATCACCACTTCAGTCGGTTGTTTCCCCCCTTTCTTCCCCTCGGACCTACCATTCTTTAGACCATCATCGACCTTCTGCCTTTCTCCTCCCTTCTGTTTTAGCATCTCCTTCTCCTTCGTGGCATGTGACTTCCCTAATTGTTTACCTACTTTGTCCCCCTCCTTCTCATTCACCATCCCATTACCTTTGCCAGCCTCTTTCTCCCCTCCCTCTTCTGACGTTGCATGCATGGCTATCACCTCCTCCTGCATTTCCTCATGTAAAATATGAAACACATTCTTCACGTGAATTGCATTATGTCCACTTCCATTGTCAGGTCTCCGCTGTTGCCTCCTTTTACGTAATCCCTTCCACCTTGTACTGGGACGAGAGCGGTTTGGTTAGGTCCACTTCTACGCAATCCCTGGCAATCTTTGCTCTTGTTCCTAACTATGTAGCACGATCAACCTTAATTGGTGTCCCAATGAGACCCCTGATCCTCATTACCGCTTCGGCATTAACAAATTCAATGGGAAGCTCTGGTAGCTGGACCCATACTATGATTGATTTAATATCCGACTTCCAGGGATTAAAACCCTTGAACCAGCGATGGACTGCTAAATATGTATCCCCCAACAGCCATGGTCCACTTGTGGAGGCAAGGTCATAGCCTCGCTGATCACGAAACCTCACGAGATAGCATCCGTTCTTCATATCCGATATCTGAATATCACCTTTCCGCGCCCATAGGTAGTTCAGTCTTCGAGCCAGTGGCAGATAAGAGATTCGGCGGCCCAAACCCTTCACAACTAAGGCTGATCGCCACTCCCGTCGCTACCGTGTCTTCTCCGCCGCAGTAAATAAAACCGGGGGGAATCGAGGGTCATATTCCTCCTCCATAATCTCGTCATCCTTCTCTTTTTCATAAGCCGCCACATCCTTCGAATCCGACTCCGCTACGTACCACCCTTCTGCATCCATCTTGGCGCTCTTAAACAACTTCTCCGTCGCGCCTTGCCATGGCGAGGGGGTTTGTTTCTCGGCATTAATATCCACTCCTGTCTCTGTCTCTGTCTCTGTCTCCATCTCATTGTATGTTTCCTCCAACCCTACCCCTTCTCGATTCAAGTCCAGCGCCCGTGCACGTTTCTTTGCCTACACTGATTCCCGATCGCTCTGCCCGTCCGACTATGAGGAAACCATTGCTGGCCTCCGGCTTCCACTTATATCTGGGGGTTTCCCTGCCG